AAATAAAATATACCTTAACATAGCTAGAAAGTGGTGTAAAGATGATCAGTGTTATTTATGTCTGGCACGGCGCCAGCGACGTCCGACGTCGAAACGACACCGTGTTGTTTGCGAAATCGTTCCATCAATGACGAAACCTCGTCGTTGACACAATGTCTCCGGGGCCATGTGCTCGACGTTTTATGCGTCGACGTCGCGGCGTGCCTCGTTCAAATTACACCGCATATACTGTAACTTCCTATCAGTCACGGTCTTGACTTCCATTGATAAAAATGTTTCAAGGTAATCATAATTGCAATATTATAAGTACTTATTATCCGTGTGACCGTGTTAATCAATCACATGTTTTTCTTTCCATAAAACTCAAGACCTATCGTAAATCCCAAATAATGAATTTTTTTAAGGTATATATGTATATCTCATTACAAGCCGATAAAATATAAACAGTATGTTTTATAGAGTATGCTGTGTAGAGATGTGACTTGCATGTGAGACGGTCCTCATTTTCAGCCTGAATACGGTCCATTTTCTTTGCTGAAATAGATGGCGTCTCCTTTGAACCTTTGATGCTTTTGAAACGGTTCGTCGCGCTAAAACTTAGTGTATGAATGACACTGCTCTAAGGTACCTACTTAAAAGCACTTAGAAAGGACAGTAAGTACTTATATACTTAGATTGCCAACACTTTGACCTTTGTCCGCCGCTTAAGTGCTTGAAAAACAAAAGATGTTTCTCTTTTTTATACGAAATTGCCTCCTCTTAACTCTTTTATAGTATTCCAACTGTTTTACTGTATAGTTTCTTTAGTGTGGGATACGGACCGTGTATAATTACTGACCATATGCAAGAAATCACACCGCTTATTCATTCTGCGAATGTTAAACGGAAGCTATTCCAAGGAGTGCAAGTAGTCAGGAAAAACATCATTTCTATAGAGGCGCAGCTGTGACGGCTCGTCTGAATGTAGGCAGCTAAAGTGCAACCCTTTTGTGATTGTAAGTGCTCTCTCCCTTTCACTCAAACTGACATGTACCTGTGCCCACACCTGGCACATACCGTACTCGCTTCTGATGGCCATTTATAACGCTGAAATACCGTGTATCATCGTTTTTACCTATTAAAAAAGGGGTTACAAGGGTTGATTAAAACTCTTGTATGTTTTGGGGTTATTTGCATGATACGTCGTTGATTTTAAACTTCAAATGCAGAACTGGTCCAAAAAGGATTCATTAATAAGTCTTGACGTTAATTGGAAAATGTGGACTTTGGCAATTAAAAATTGCAAAAAGAATTTCAATATATTTGTGCTTTATTATTAAAAACACCATTAATCCGGTGTAGACAGTAAAATAATAGCTTTTATACAGACAAGAAAATAATGGCTTTTTCAGATAATACGAGATAAATCGGATTTATACCTATCCTATGTAGTTTCTGTCGGAGGTTTTGCTCGCATGGCCCGGATGGAAAATAACTTTTATTTCAGACTACAAACTATCTCTGTGCCAATTTTCATCAAAATCCTTTTAGTACATTTTACGTATAAGAGTAAGAAACATCCAACCTTCCAAAAGTTTGAAGAACCTTCCAAAACAGATTCATACTTACAAACTTTCCGGTTTATAATATTAGAAGGATAATACATAACAGAGTCAAGTAATGTAAAGTGCTTACTGGTAAAGGGTATGTATATGAGTAAACAGGTCGATTGCCTCTAATAATATAATATACTTGAAATCTTACTATTCTTCATCAAGAACTTTGAGGGTGGAGGCGAACTAACTAATGCAGTTTTAACTTCTCTTTTTCGTTAGTTTCTTCAATATTACTACTGACTTTACAAACAAAAATCTCAGTCAAAATTCAGTTTATGCATTATTGGTTTGCATCACTATTATTATCGAATTGACTTAGGGATTCTTGGAGCCAGAATGAATCACAACATGAAACTGCAGTTAAATTATACGTTAGGCATATAAATCACAATCAACAATAGGATTTATGAGTAAACTAAGTTAGTCACTATAGTGAGAGTTGTTTGCGGTTTGTACACGCAGGGTGGAGTGTCTAGGCGTCAACTGGAGTGCTTTTGGCGTAGTCTCAAAGAGAGGTTTATCTTGCCCCGTCCACGCGACCCGCGCGTCGCGACCTACTTCGTACAATACCTCAGCCGGGTTGACAAGCTATTGTTGAACTTTACACCGGGGTGCCGCGGCTCCGACTTGATAAATTCGGTTGCCTTACCGCTCCAACGAATAAAGGATCTAGAGTCTAGACTGGGGAATAACGATTGCTCGGCTTCTTCGTCCAAGCCTTTGATTGTCTTGCTTGGAAATACGATTTTGGTTTGTATGTTCGGATAATATCGGTATAAATTTCAAAGAATCCTCTAGATTGAATATTAACTTAACACATTTGCTTCTCACACAGTTGATTTATGATCTTCCCGTATTCTAGGTAAGTAGTCTACATCGAAAAGGGAATGTCATGTGCTCGCACACGTTTCCATATACGCGATACGAGTAGAAAGCGTAAAGTCTACTTGTTCCATTTATTTGTGAGTAATTTATCCAATTAGGAGTTAAAGAAACTTTATGCCGTATGTACATAGAGGCTCCATATTAAAATGTAGACTTCACTAACAAATTAAGCTTTTTATTTATTTTTTGCATATACAGAAGTAGTCGGCTATTGCAGGTTGAAATTAAAGTTACTCTCTGTGAATTTATTTTAAAGTTGTTAATTTGTTTTGTGTTAAAGACGTGACAAGCTTAAACGTTTAATTTGTCTGATTTCATCCACAAATTAGTTGTCTATGATTCCCATTAAGGTTTGTTAATTGAGCGGTTAGATTCTGAACAATCGATTTACGTTGTTTATTGCTAGGGTCGTTGATGGGCGTCTGGAACCTTCGTCTACAGTCTCCCCTCCGTACTGACGTCATAGGACTCGTCTAGACTGTTAAACCTATGAGGAAGACTAGGACAATGCACTTAGTCCCGATCATGTTTAAACATAATTACAATATTTAAGTTGCCTAGCTTCATTCTGGTAATATAAGCTGTCGCCACGTTCATTGGGGATTAAAACGAAACTTCTGTAGTTACGGACGGTTTCGGTACCAGGTATGTGATTTCATAAGTTGAAGGGAGCCGAAATTCGGGGGCAATGACCTCTCACCCTTGGTCTTAGCGTTCATAACCGTGCCTGTGCATTTCGCTCCACCCCTATCACCACATTACCTTTCGAGTGATCTGATCTTTATTATATTTAACTTAAGCACATGCCTTTGACTAACGCACGAGTTTTAAAATCGTAAAAATTCTACAACCATCTATAGAACCTACATCAACCTTTTGAAGACGAAAATTACGTAGTTAGTTTCGGGCTTGTTACTTTTCTTAACCTAGTTGTAAAATATATTGGTAGATGAATAGTAGGCCCCACATGGGCTGTATAATATACAATTTGTGTTCGTAGGTTTATGATATAAACGAAAATATACCTAAAACAAGCCGAAATCCGCTTGCAAATTGCCATGTATACCTGACCTCCCGGACCTACAAATTGGCTCACGTAATGATAACAATCAACAAAACACTCACGATTTTCCTATTTTCTCGCTAAGGACTTTTCGTCGTAAACGGTGACCTTTTTTCAACAGCTCTGCACAGGATTCGCCAGCGGAAAAGCAGATGTTTTCGATCAGTTTGTTAAATTACAAAGTTTTGTGAATGTGAAATGTGTCCAGAATATTTTGTTTCTCTTTGTGTTTTTCACAATGAGTGTTTTCCAGTTAAGTATTGATCTTACACAACATTACGATTGGTATAAATAAAATGTTGAGTGCTGGAAATAATCTCTTTGTGAAGTACTGTACTTACACATAAAATTGAATAATGTATGTTGATGGAGGTCAGAGCTTAGCGGGAGTGACGTAGATTATTGTTCGCCTGAGATTTTTGTACTATGCTTTTACAGTAAACCTCATTTTACCCTCGAGCGCTTTCAGATCGTCTCAGTCCTGAATATTTATAAGGCCAGCTTCCATTCCGGTTGGATTTATTATCAAGTTTTGTCACTTCTCGGAGATTCGTTAGGAGAAATCCATTTAAGATTGACTCTAGCATTTAAGTTATTCTAAGTGATAAATTAATGGACTTGACCTTTATAGGGTGCTGCCATGCTGGGTGTTTGACTTTGCTGTATTACGCAAACACTTGGGAATTAATATATAACAATTTGAATATCAGAAATTATCATTAAGGATGGGAATCGATTAGTGATTGCGTCAATGCACTGGCTTTTCTAGTAGCATTTTTAGCTCAAGCAATAAACCTTATACTTCTGAGGCCAGCGCGGTAGCTCCTAATGATCAGGCTTGCTAACATCAAAGAATAATTTGGCTACAAATACACGAAAATATTTTATTTTATCCGGTCTCCGGATGGTTGACTTCTTTGCTAATTGTAGGAGTGAGAGATGTCATTGAAGTGTTTACATCATTAGTGTAAAAAATACATATCGAAAATAAGTATGATTACAAACGGATAATTTCTGAGAGTAATATTCTGGAATACATTGCAAAATTGAACCCGATACTTGGTTTCTATGAATGATGAATGTCTTCTAGTAATAGCTTTTTCGTCTCCAATAATAATCTAATTATACATCTCGTCCCTAGGCTATACTCAATGCGGTCGTCACGAATGTTTAATTCGGTTATATCGGAGATTTCGTTACAAACGTGTTTGTATTCCGAATATTTTCAATACATAATTTATGAGAACCCGTTGTTTCAATTACGAACCAGAATTAAAGAATATCGTCCAGTTTGTCGCGTAACGTTTTACAAAATGCTGAAAGTATTTGCGCGTGCCATATTTTATTGCAAGTCACTATAGTTAAATGGGCGATTACTTACCGTGACATTGCTCATTATTATTCTGTACTTTTTGTATATCTTTCTTTACCTAACGTAAAATAATTGTTTGTTCTAGGGAGGTTACCCAGCGAAGCTGAAGAAAGTGCTGATAGTGACGGCTCCGCTGTGGTTCAAGGCACCATTTCGGATCCTGCGGCTGTTTGTCAGAGAAAAGCTACGTGAGCGCGTGCACACTGTGAACGCGCCTCAGCTTGGCCTGCACGTGCCGCGCTCCAGCCTGCCCAAGCAACTCGGTGGCCTGCACGAACCAGACCACGCTGCCTGGTAAATAATTGTCTTATTTATCATCATCATTAACTTATTTTCGTCTACTCTTGGATGTAGACTCAATGTATCACTGTGCTGAATCTCAGCTTGGCATAAGACTCGTCTTATCACTAGGGTGAATATTTGACTTCGTTGTTGTAAGACGAAAGAAATCTTTAAATATGGCCCTCTTAACTTACCTCTAACCTCTTAACTATTCAATTAATTTTATATCATGAGTTGTGCTTTTAGAAGTTTAGTCAATCTCTAAACTTCTAAGAGCAATTGACTTTGTATAAAACTAGATCTAGAAAATTATCTTTTTATTAAGTTAGGTACTCAGTCTTTAGGAGAACGGAAGTTAATTCAGTTAAGAATTCTGTATTCGTGGTATCTAACTTAGTTATCGTCAACGTCTCGTATATTATCTGTAGAAGTTTGAATGTCAATTGTGGCAGGGAAACTATTAAAGAAACTTCCACCGTTGTTAGCGCTACGGTAACAAAACCGAAAGTTTACAGTCTTGTAAGCGATGTAGGTGGGAGCGGTGCAGTGTCCGCAACTTTAGTGCTATCTTGCATGTCGCCGAGCCGGGCTTCCTTCCTGCGACTTAGTTTCCCTTTGTCCAACTTATCTGTTATGCACCATCTACTTATGGCCCGATTATGAAACTCGCTTCTATAATACGTTTAAGGGCTTATTATATGGCTGAAAAACAAGCCCCTCGTTCGGTCAGTACGCTGAGCATCCGACGGCCCGTCAGACTATCTCTCGACCCTTTTTTCAAGAACGGCTTGAGGTATTTACGTTGAAATTAAATTCGTTATGTCTGGTTTTGTAAAGATTGCTTATATCATGTTTTATTTTACATTGTTCATCATTGAAATAGGGTTCGCTTACTTGTTTAATATATTCTATACAAACGACTTCAATTATTGTATGAAGAATACACCGTCATATTTAAGTAGTTATTGCTGGCTTTTATGTAGATTATATGTATGTAGGTGTAGTGTAGAATATAAAAAGGCGCAAAGGAAATTCGGCGCCTGTGTTCCGATGTAGGTCGACTTTTGTTGTTCCACCCCAAAGCATGGCATTACGTGACATATATTTCACGTTACGATGTAATCAACGATAATTGTTGAACGCTCGAAATTTCAATTAACCCCCTTAACGAACTTGCGTAACAAAGTGCCTGCCTTCATTTCTAATTATTGCTTAGGAAAAAGCATTGAGAATGTTATTTTGTTACTCATAAGTACTTAATTGTACATCGTTGTTGTCGAATATTTAATAGATTATTGTCCAGTTGTACTTGTATATGTCCAGTTGTCTTGTCGAAGTTAAAGTTGAAAGTCTTATAGCGGGAAGGATTCTTTGATAATGAAAAACATTTCATATCTTCCCTTTGAAAGTAATTCAGTCCAGTCATCCTAGAATAAATGTATGATTTCCATGTTTCATTGAGCAAGCCCGTGCCAGTTAGTTTACGAGGAAGCCAGGCTTTGCTACCGACAAACATGTCCGTGAACGATGAAAACATTCGCAATTTATCTATGTACCATGTATATGTGAGTAATTTGTTCGACCACCTACGCGCTGTTGACCGTATATGCGACACATGCATAGAACGTGGGAGTTAGGAAAATCTTGTGAAACCGTTCTCTACCCGATCGATTTGAAGTCTGTAAAACTTGGCACCTGAAAATACGAACACGGTTATTACATAATGTACTGTGATGATTTATTGGCCATATAATGAAGCGGTGCGCCGCTGTACCAATGATAAATCGGGGTTGAATTTCTACGTCGGCTGTTATAGAGCTCATTAACTTTGAGTTCAGGCCTGTTCAGGTGATGTACAGCATGAGTCGCGTTCATACAATCTACTCGCACTTACGTGATTCATGTTTATCGAGGTAATAACAATGATACAAGATAAGATTGTGGGAGCTATCCTAGCCACTTTATTTCTTTGAATTCTTTATTGAAAGGGTACTTGCAATCCCACAGATTTTATCGATCGCACATACGCTGTGTACGTCATGTGTGTTTTGTCCGTTTTGTAAGTTATTCTTATTTTTGCGTTGATCTGTAAGGCTTAAGTTTATAAGTTGTTTTACTTGTCTGCAGGTTGGAGCACTGCAAGAATTGTTACACGAACAATTTGCAGAACGCTAAACTAGACGGCGTCATCGATGAATATGTAATCAGTAATCACATACCTCCTATCAACGCGCAAAATGGTGAGTGCTGAACATGTTCCAGATAACGTTAGGTATACAGTGACGTGTTACCTATCATTCTGTTTTGCTAGGATTTAGATTTCACACACCGTCGACTTGAATACATTGGTTTTGAACGTTGACAAGATACGAAAATCTTGTTTTGGATAGAAACAATTATAATTTTGAGCGTTATTTCTATACTTGTTAATAATGAGTAATAGCTAGGTTTACAACAAGTCTTGTTGCTACTATAATTTAAAAATATTATATGAATAGTAATGGTTTTAATGCAGGTATAATAGAGCACGAGGGTGACATGACCAGCGACCGCGCGACGCGACTGGGTGACAGCAACACAGACATGCACATCAGCGGCGACCCCCCCTACACCTGCGACCCCAGCCCGCTCAGGTAAACATTGCTTACTATTTAACAAGCTATTCATTAATTCATACTCCTCAAGTTATACAGGTGTACAGCATAAAGTTAAATACTAAGACATTACTTTAAAATTAAAAATAATGTCTTTCATTCATCTAAAAATTATCAAATTGTTATATTAATACAATGTTTTGGTTAATAAAAAGACTAATACCAAATAACTACAAATTAAAATAACAATTGACCACATTCTCAACTCTATAAATGCGTCGTCACAAGCAACGCGAGTCAGACCAGTTATGTTAATTACAATAATAGTATTATTAAAGATTTTATTTTGTTGGCTTTATATTGTTCGGTTATTACTAATGTTTTATCCAAAACACTTCTGATTCATGCTACGATGACGTTCCATATAACATAGACTCGACTATTTATTGGAATCGTATATCTCGTTCTCGTGCCATGACTGTAATGTTAATAAAAACACCTTTATTAATTCAAACTTGTGTGTAAAGTGTAATGTACTGTCGAACACAAAAATAATTGTTAAATTCGAACCAGTAGTTCCGGAGATTAGCGCGTTCAAACAAACAAACAAACTCCTCAGCTTAAAATATTAAGTAAAGATAATGAAGTCAGTAACAAACCTCTTTGTTATAGGCACACCCATGGGTATAATGGTGATATGAAGAGCAGACACATAAACTCAGGAGATGAAGATGATATGGACATAAGCAGTGAGTAAAACCTCGTATGAATAAAACCTTTATATTCTAATGCCATAATGTAACACAACTGTCAAAGGCTAAAAAAGTAATAATGCCATAGTGACGTCGCGTTGGTTTCGATGATTGTTTACAAGTTTTATTTATATTACTATCAAAATATCAATTAACACAATTGTATCCGATGAGTACAGATAAAAAAAGTGAGGGTATGTTCTTGAATTAGTAAGTTATTGATAAATTCATGCGATGCCTCCATGGGCCAATGTTTAATGCGCTGCGGTAAGTTTTGTTGTAGTAAAAAGCCGGCGATACGAAAGTAAATATCACTTTACTTATCTGCTGTAAGTGAAAATGGTAGTATGGAATCTACGTATAAATTATTCGTAAGCGCCATATAGTGAATCATAGTTTCTGTTCCTTATAATATTGACATTTTAGTAGTAAACATTAAAGTAAAATATTTCGGTTAAAGATTTTTCACTGTTTCTTGTTTAAATTGCACTTAGATTTTGTCTCTAATTATTAAATACCGATAATATTAAAGATTTTATAATGAAATTATCTAGATAAATAATATAATTTATTAACGTTGAGAGAATGGACAATCCAGGTCCTTGTAGATATCTCAATTAATTATGTTTTATGGTTATAAAAAACATATTTTATGTAGAATAAAATTTTACGATCTATTCATTGAATTCAAAGTTAATGCTCGTAAAATAAACTATCGATTATCAGGCGAAGGTTTGTAGTTTTACGAGAAATACTCGGAATAATGCAAACAACACTCAATTGTTGCAACATCTAGATTGAACTCTATAGTATGCGATTCGTATTGTTCACTGTTGAACGATTCGTTGGCGCACCGCAGTACGGCTACTGGCTCTATAATATTTTTAGTTTGATTTTGTACTAGTGGCAGATTTGCCTCTGTGTGACGATTAGCCAAATCGGTTGTCCTAAAGTAATCCGCGTTTGCTTTCACATCGTCAGCTGTTCATGTTTTACTGTCGATACTGATTCCCAATAATACACGTTTCATATAAAGCGTCGCCTGCATACCATGAAGTGTCAATTTCAAACATACATGAAAATCATGTTGATATTCTTTTTAGTGTTTGTGATAAAGTTAAACAGTGAGTCGTTTTATACAAGTTTTTATATATAAACTTAAATAGTACAAAGGTTACGTTGAGTTTGCGTATTGTAGGTAAAGGTTCGGCGTGTAAAATTGGTTCCTCGGGCAAGGGTGGAGATATATTGGGGTATTGTAAGGGTATGCTCTGACCGGTCGTCCACATGATTAAACGGGCGTTTGGGTCGAAGGCTTAGTGCGGAGGCACCCTGTCCTTTTACTTGTACAAAGATAGGTTAGGGTCGGCCTTTACAAATTTTTGGTGCATAAATTGTTTCGGCAACAACACAACTACAAAAACATTATCAAAATACAAAAAAGATTGATGACAAAAATGAGACTCTAATAGATATTTTTCTATTTGTATTAGAAAGCATAATACGAAGCAAACTTTGAAGATATTTTTAATATCTAAAGTTTTCTGAAAACGAATAAAATATTTTCAAGTTTTCTTAAAACTATTTTGAACAGTTTGTATAGTTGGAATATTAGTTGATTGATCACTTATAAAAGAAGTTTACCACTTGGTGTCTCGAAGGCCGCGAAGTACCTACTGACGTAAAAATATCTTATCGTTCTAATACCTTTAGATTTTTGCGTGTTCCAATAAATAGTACCTATAATTAAACTTTTTAACAACTTTATCGCAGGAATCTTGTCTATTGCGCATTATTTTTTAATTAATCCCAACCCAACTCAATCATGTTTTGGTATGATAAGTCTGCAAAGACGAAGCACGTAAATGTATGGAGTAGAGTATGGTCGGATGGTACGTTAGAGTAAGCAGTGAGTGTATCGCAGCGCGCGGCACGTGGTCGTCGGGCGAGGTGTCCCCCGGGCTGTCGGACGAGGAGGGCGGCGGCGGCGGCGCGGGCGAGACGCCGCAGGCGCTGCTGCAGCGCGTCCGCGCGCTGGGCCGCCGCGGGCTCGCCGCCGAGTACGACGAAATCCGCTCGCGCCCGCCGGTCGGCACCTTCCACCATGCCAAGTCAGTACACCTCTATTGTTCTTTATTTTACGTCGTATAGCAAGCCATCAGCGTCGCCCATAGACCCGCAACAACAGAGGAGTTACGAGAGCGTTGCCGACCTTCTGGGGATTAGGGATTTGGAGATTTTGGGATGCAGGAGGGCAAGGATTGGGCCACCGGTAACCGCACGCACACGGCAAAACACAACGCTGCGGTTGTTTCACGCCGGTTTTCTGTGAAGCCGTGGTATCACTCCGGTCGAGTCGACCCATTCGTGCCGAAGCATGGCTTACTCTTACCAACTTGTTCCAACAGCACCTAGAAATCTACTGACTCCTCTCAAATAGTTTTTTTTTTACTAAAATAATGCTCTTAGTTATAATTTTTCTCATCTCAGGATGATCTCATAGTTTACGATGTATTTGCACATAAAACTTGTAGTGGAATGTAATAAATAATTCAGTTATATTGAGAGTATAAAAACTGTTTCAACTCTAAATTTCTAGAAAATAACTCGACCTTTAGTCAACTTTACCTACCTACTACCTACCTACACCATGTTTATTGATTACCTAAAACTTGGTTTCCCCCGGGAATGTTTCTCAATAACTATTTTTATGTACATTATTTCTGACAATGTTATTATTGTAATTAATATCTCCAATTCTTATTTAACGTCTTAATTAGGAACATTTGGTAACAATATACTTTTTTCGCCCACATAGCATTCAGAATTGGAAAGCTTCGCAATAACAAAGTTTTGTGGCCAAAACAAACCTACTGAAACATGACAACGGTAATTAGAGTATTATTTACATTTGCGTTTATTTTAGGAACAGAAAATAAATATCAAAATTATTTCTAAGAAGGTTTTTATTTACTTTTTTCAGATTGCCGAGTAATCTAGCCAAAAATCGTTACACGGACGTGCTGTGCTACGACCACTCGCGCGTTATTCTATCGCAGACTGACCCAGACGATCCCACCACAGACTACATCAACGCCAACTACGTCGACGGGTACAAACAGAAGAATGCTTATATCTGTACGCAAGGTAAGAACCGTCTACACTTTATGTGGGGGTTATAAATCGCTACATATTTTATTGCTACTCAATAATGTTTACAATTGCTGATACTTAAGTATTACATTTGCATGTAGGTACGTCAGACACGCTAAAGGTCAATGTATAGAGTAGCTGGTACACATCATCAGCCTATATGTGCCCACTGCCGAGCAAAGGCTTCTCCCCACAAGGAGAAGGTTTGAGCATTCCTTTGCTCAGGATTGGCGATTTCAAACTTATGATAAGAAATTATAAGTCCAGGTTTCTTCACGATGTTATCCTTTTCCGTTTGTCAGTGGTGTCTAATAAATCATAGAAAATACATATAACTCTGAAAAAGTCACATTGGTACTCGCCAGGTATCAAACCAGGGCGCTTCAACCTCTGGGCTACAACGACGATTTCGTTTTCGTACATTTTCGATAAAAAACCCCCGCATTAGGTAGAACTTTCTAGGGTCTTGGCATATTCTAGGCATAAAACAGCACTTAGTTTTATCATGTAACATTGCTTGCTGTATACAATCTGATGTAAAATTTTATTGAAACGAATACATTGTTAATTGGATATGTTTCAATCAGTGAATGATTATATCGTTATCAGTACACTCTTGATAAACGGTGAACACGTGCTGGTTCGTATAAATGTGTCGTAGATTATGTTAAACAATCGGCTTAGTGTTAGTACTAAATCAAAGCCGTTGCAGATCTTGTAAGCTACGTTTATGTACTTACGTACTTATATGAATAACTAAGTTTTAGTTAGATCCCTGCCATATTTGATAGAAGTTAGTTATCAATCTAATGTAAATATTAAGGTCGCCTGACAGTTATATATAGAAAGTTCAATGAACTTTGTTGTTATATTATGTACATTCAGCGTCAAATATATAGAAACATTCAGATTAAACAAAAGTAAAGAAACAACCAAAACACTAAAAATTCGTTACAATAAAACAATAATTGGTGATCAAGAAATCTTAATTTAAAAAGTGTCGAATATTTTCCTAAAGTCGTCCCTCATCAGGCCATCTAGCATCTGATATTCTAGTGGTCTTGGTGGATATAAATGATATTAATTGAGTACCCTTAATGTCCTTATAATGTATGACGGTGGCTGTACCAAGACGTAGTGTCGTTACAATTTTTTTAAACCAGAATAAAATAATACATGTCTTGCATTTATCATTGTGAAAAAATGCAAGTAATCTTCTAAGAATATTTGATACAATTTGGCTGCATTCCCACACTACCTGGAAAATTGCTAAACTTGTTTACGATGGAAATACGTTTTCCGTGAATTATAAATAATACAGCCCTGTAGCGCGAATTGGAAATAAACGCAGGGGAAATCCTCTCTTCGTAGAACTCACTCGGCGAATAACAGCAGCGACATTCTTTTGTAATATTTTTTATATTTTTATTTCAATCGACGTTGTTGACACTTAATATTGTGTTCTTAGACATTTTTATAAAAAGAAACATTCGCGTCTCGGTTATTTTACGATAAGTACCATTGCGGTTGCTTGTATGTGTTTGATTGTATTGTTTTTCAGGGCCCTTGCCGAAGACGTTTAGTGACTTCTGGCGCATGGTATGGGAGCAGGGCACGCTGGTGATAGTGATGACGACGCGCGCCGTGGAGCGCGGCCGGGTCAAGTGCGGCCAGTACTGGCCTCTCGCCGACGGCCAGCACGTCGTCTACGGGGACTTCGCCGTCACTACGCAGGCCGTCGAGCACGACGAGGACTACACCGTCACACATCTACTGCTCAGCGACCTCAAGGTAATCACACTCACCTCCTTAAACTCGGCCAAATTTTCTCTACTGCATTTAGAGCACATTTTTCAATAGTTTCAATGAAAGCTATCCGAGGAAGAAAATTCTTGCTGTCACTGTCTTATACAATTCTAACGCGATAGCATCACAATTATTCCCCAGATAACTTATCTAACCATTGAAAATTAGCCCTTAATTAATTGTATTGTAAACCAACAAGTAACGACGATTAACCTGTTTATAAATACACTTTCGTAACAATTATTACGAATACTAAGACGTTAGTACTGATTCTAGATAATGTAACTTATTATGCCATAGCGTAGTACCGTAAAAACTAAAGTTAATTGCTGATAAATCTAATTGGTGAAGTTGATTGACACTTTTCTTCGTTGGTCTTGATATAACGAATTAATAGTTTGTTGAATCGATGACATTAGAATGTCTATCGTGTAATACTAAGACCTTAGTACTGATTCTAGATACTGTTTCAAATTATGCCATAACATGATGATTATTTTCCATGACTTTCTCCTTGTCCTGCTTACTTTTCTTCGTGGTTCTTGATAATATGAATCCTGTACGTGTGTTGCAGCGCGGCGGGTCGCGCCGCATCTGGCACGGTCAGTACACGCGATGGCCGGACTACGGCGTGCCGGGCGGCGGCAGCGCGCAGCCCGTGCTGCGGTTCCTGGCGCGCTGCCGCCGCGCGCAGGCGCTCGCGCTGCACGACCTCGACCTCGCCTGGGCCGGACACAAGCAGGGCCCGCCCATCGTCGTGCACTGCTCCGCCGGCATCGGACGGACCGGTGCGTACTACAACACACTACGATACACTTTATACTGCCCCTGTTGCGATCCGAAATTAATCGAGTAACTGTTTGACGTACTTTGTCCCTTAAAACTTAAACAGAAAATTGTTAGTCACCGCCGATGAAGCCCACGAAGGCATTCATATCAATATTTGTTTTTATGTCATAATGGATGGGAGACCCATTCCCATACTTAAAAGACTAAAACACTAAATACAAAGAATAAGATCAGAGGCGTATTCTTAAAAAACGATGATAATGCTAATTTAAACGTGGCGCACAGTTTAATCCAAACTAATATTGTAAATGCAAAAATAACTCTGTCTGTCTGTCTTTTTTCACGACTAAACTATCGAACCGATCAAAATCCCGGGAGATCGGGTACTATGTGGGTAAAACTAAAAATCTGCAGGAAGTCCACGCTATCGAAGTTCCTGGCAAAAGCTAGTAGTATGTAATAAGAGCAAGGCACGTTTCCAGGCACATTCCTGACGCTGGACATCTGCGCGCAGCGAGTGAGCGCGGAAGGCACGCTGGACGTGCGCGGCACCGTGGAGCGCATCCGGGCACAGCGCGCGCACTCCATACAGATGCCCGACCAGTACGTCTTCTGCCATCTCGCGCTGCTCGAGTACGCGGTACGTACCTCGCACTACCTCACTTACATTATTATATACACACCTTAACTAAGCTCCTTTGCCATAATTCACCTTGGCGTCTGTAGGGTTACAATTATGATTAGATATGAAATTGTTTTCCTAAACTTAAATATCTTTTATTAACATATAAATACTATTCGACGATATTCGTCCAGTTACAGGCCTCACCGGGTCTCATAAATATAAACGCATAACGTTACGCAACCAACCAGCTACGTGGTAATATTGCATCACGTTAAACATTGTCGTCCCCAATATACCAAAAATTACTTCGAACGGAAAATTCGTTGTGATGCATACTAATCATGTGTTATATACGGTTTGCAGGTGATGCAGGGCTACCTAGACTCTGCCGACCTGACGGGCTTCGACGAAGACAACGAGGAGGAGTCGGAATGAAGACTGTCTCGTCCGTCCTGCGCCGTACTGTAGCGGCGCGCCCAGCGCACAGACTGTGACTGTACCGAGTGCCCAGAGTGCCGAGAGTGCCGAGAGTGCCGAGTGTCTAGTGTACGGGAGTGTACAGTGAGTGCAGTGTACAGAGTGACGTCACTCCGCCAGTGATACGACTGCCGCGCTATCCGCACATAGCTTAAGAAATATAAACATTGAAATGAAAACGTTCCTCTAGCAAGAATAAGAACTGAAATAAACCTGGTAATGGGAAGGAAGCCTACACAAGTATTTATTTGCATATTATAAATCTTTGTAACCAAAAATATTTCCACGATTATTTAGATATTTAATATTTATTTATATGATGTAAGGAGTTATGGCTGTGTGAAGTTTTGTCTGTAACTTATGTAGTTATGTTTATTTTATTGCAATAAATTATTTTGATGTAATTGCCATACAAACACTGTATCTGATGTGACCGTTGAATTCGCAGTTTCGCACGTTTTGATATACGTTGAGGTGCTGGTAGGCTTAAAACGTTGATTCATGTTAATCATTTACATATTTCATTCGCGAGTTGTCGCATAGTGACGTGTATTATACATTTTTATAATCGTCAACGCTCTCCTCGAGCCATCGTATGAATTTATGATAATGCACTGAAGCATCTAGACGTCGTTACGAATTATTATAAATTATTATATAATAAAGAAGTTTAGTCGCACAGTGTCCACTTTGCTTATTTTGTCAACTAAGGAAAGGATTTTTATAAAATGAATGGTTACATAGTATAAATATTATACATTACCCGAAACATACAATGGCCAGAGTTTTCGTGTTGGGGCTTAGTTAGCATTCTGTATTTTCACATTTTTCTATTTAAATTTCCACTAAAAATCTTTTTCTTATTCTTGCGTTAACATACCTCCTTTTTAATACCTATGATCAAAATAAAAATGACAGTGATGATTGTTGAAAATGAGAAAGTATACAATGCGCAAATCTATCGCCCCACCACTAAGAATCAGGCAATGGTTCGTATCAGGGACTATATACTACTATTTCATACTACATTGCTACTATGCCAGTGCTGCATTCAGTTGCACGATGTTTCCATGGCGCTTCCATGCTACAAAAATCTTTTCTAATTTTCAAGACAAAAGCTTGAAGTCCAGTCTAACATACAGATAAGTGATCGACTTACTACCGGCGGGAGACTGAATAAGTAATATAGAAAAATAATTCGCCAAATTGGACATTTGCCAAGACTACACATTTGCTAAGTGAACACTCTGCGACTGGACAATATAAATTTTACATAGACTGAGTAATGTTAATATGTTCTAAAAGTTTACATGCGGCCCGTCGTACTAGTGTAAATTTATAATTACATTCATGTTGAAGTTCTCTTAGTTTCTTATTTGTTCTATATACGTATACCTGATGTAAAATAAATGAAAAAACATAATTTAACAATAGAAGGAAAGTAAAGTATTTTGGTGTAACAAGACAGCATATTTATTTTTCATAGAAAGCATAGCGACATATCTAATGACAGATGTATATATTTGGAATCGCCGTCCTGTTACGTAACGTACATATCGCAGTAGACGTGTTATAGTTTGCTCTCCGTGGCCACTTCCTGCAATGAATCTCTCGCGCCATCTCCCGTGCTAGCAGTGTGTTGCTCGAACGTATCATTATTGTAACTATCGTGTATTCTGTCACGTGTCCTGTCCAGACTTACTTACTCTCGCTCGCAGACAATTATTTGTAAACAGAATATCGTATATTATTTAGCACGGTGTAAATATTTGTTACGCAACTCTGCGAACGGCACTACGTCTGTCTGGCACTGCACTAATAACGATGTATCGAAATATGTTTCTCTTATAACATTGTTTCATATTTAGTAAATTGTTAATCTGGAACGTCTGTTGATTATATCTGTAAATATTTTATCATTATTTTGTGTTCTAAATTTAAATTAAAACCCTTGTGAAATATGTGTGAAATAAAATCTTGTAATATATTTATTTCCAATGGTTTTATTGTGACTTATCGTTTAAAGTTTCTTATACGAGTGAGTACCACTGGGCTTGTCGTTTGGTAATCAAAATAATAGTAACTGTATGACCATGGTTGAAATTTTTTATCTGAAGTACCTACCGAAGGGACTATTTCATACTCACCAATTAGGTATATTTTTTTGCCTCGTCTAACTATACTACACGTCGGAACTACATGACAATTACACTGAGTTGTTCCATCTGATAGTGGTATTTTGCCGCCCGACCAGAATCAGACCCGAGCGTACGGCGCGTAGTGTTCTACGCACGCCTCAAAGAGCCAATAGACCACCAAAGACTGAGCCCTATAGAGCTGATGTTCAGCAGGAGAAGAAACGGGGACATTTTTAGTCAGTGAATCTGACACTTCCTCTCGGCTTACCCTGGGCGGGATAACTCACTTAATGATTTTCCCCTTACAAAAAAAAAATCCTTTAGAACGTCAACAAGTGCTACCTTCATAAATACTTTACGCTTGTCTACGGGGGAACGTCAAGAATGTATTTCGAAATAAGTTAACTCTTGGTTCCCTAGCCATTCTTACCAAACAGGCACAGTAAATGAGCTTAAACTCGATATGTTTACTAGTAGATAAGAATACACCCGTCAGCTGAAAAGCATCGAAAGCTGCTGCTAATTCAGCCGTAGACTGAGTTTCATTAGTTTCCACAACCACCTAATTACCTAACATTGTACATACCGTCTTCCAATTTTTTTGGACGAGTAAGTATCTAAGTGGATTATTTTTCACGTTAAAAATTCCATGCTATTTATTTGAAATAAGAATTATCAGCCAAAAAAAGGATTGTGATTTGTAATGGCCTGTACGGCAGAATTGTGAACTGCTGTTACTGTTTGCTGCCTTGAGAAATACAAATGACATTGATATCGACCAGGAAATTGTGTTATGTTCTTATATACCCGCGCTATTAAAGATGCGATTCAGCCTAATCGGGGGTCAAAAGTCGTCATCCAGAAACTGGCTCCATCTGAAGAAGAAAAGCGATTTCTAAGCAGACAGAAGCAATCTATTTGATATGGAAATGTGCTCTACATCAAACAGAAAAGTTGTCGCTTTCAAGCCGGACATTCGCATTGCTCTAAAGCGGCGTTTCTGTAATGAATTTTACCTACACATCAGAAGGACTCCGTCCAAATCAGACTTAGAAGATCCTAGGGCCATGCTTGTCCGCCTATTTACCAAAGAGTTGCCAGAGATCAGTTATGGGGAGACTTTGGTGTTTTTCGGAAAGCTTAAAATTGGAAAACCACTCAGAAGGGATTAAGAGCAGGAGTCATTATTTCTTCAAAAGGGGAACTCTTAAACTGACCATAAATCATAATCCAGCGGATTAAGATCGGGACTAGACGACGGCCAGTCTTCAGCTCTGATGAAGTCGGAAACGTTCGTTTCCAACGAAGACTGCGTGGAACGAGCTTTATGACCCGACGCCGAGTCTTGCTGGAACGACCATTGTTGGTTATTGAACATGGTGTTGTTAAGGGGCTTAACTACCTTCTCAAGAATGGTATTTTGATACACTTGTGCCGATGTTTTGATACCTTTTTCGCAAAAGTATGGCTCAGTCACTCCTTCATACCTAACACCCCACCAAACCATCACTGAAGTCGGATAATGCCCACGTTGCACTCTGTCGACTAATTGAGAAGCTTCCTTAGAGCTTTGAGCATAAATACGGTCATCTTGTTTGTTAAAATGTTGCTCAATTGTAAAAAAATTCTCATCCGTAAACAAAATTTTTCTGTGACCTCCCTTTGCGTACCGCTTCAGTAGTTGTTTATCACCCTATTCTTTTTTAAATTATCATTTAAATAATGTCCAGTGCGTCTCTTATAGGCTGCAAGTCCTAAGTCGTCTTTTAAAATACGCGACATGGTTCTAGGTGCTATCTTCATCTCCCGAGATAAAATAAATCTTTTGCTTTCGGACAGGATTTCTGTTTTAGTTGACTCCCCATGGTGCCAATGTTCGTCAGAGGGACTGCAATACGAGCAGTCCGCCCATGATATACTCTTATGTTACATAATTTAAATGTCTCATCAGATGTAGTTTATTATACGGACGAATGTAGAACAAACTTCCGTGCGTTTAAGCGTTTTTACCATACCTATTACTTGAAACAGAACTTACAGAAAACCGCATGGGCGGCGCTGATTGCTTACCATCAGGTAATCCGTATGCTCGTTTGCCGACCTATCACATAAAAAAAACTATTGCAGCTTACCCATAATTCCCATTACAATAAAGTACAAAATTTTCCGTGGTGTTTGGTGACTGGGCTTCCCCTAGTTGTCCATCTATATTTCTTCTCTTGTATCTTCTGTGTCATTAAGGCTTAAGTCAATCTGTCTCCTGCATTAAATTTACTGAGGGCAGTGGAAACTATTTCGTTTTATCTTCTCCTAAAAAAATATCTTCTGATTTATTTCATTGCGGGATCCAATACAGTCATTCATGTCCTTGGGACGCGCCGCACTTCAGTGTTCCGGTGTATTCATGGTTTTATCTACTGTAGATCCTGATTTACAGGAGTTGCAACGGTTAGAGAAGGTGGCGGCGGACTTGTCCCAATAAAAAAAAATACACGTGACACCCAGACCCGAAAAACAATTGCAGTGTGGATCGCACAAAGAGTGGTTCCGTGCGGGAATCGACTCCACGACACATTGCACGGCAACCGGTTACCCACTATGTAGTCAAAGTTGTTTTAGCTGGCATTCGTATTCTATGTAAAAGCTTTTAACTCAATCTAAACCTTTCTGAACCTGTTCAAGAATGTGCATAGGACATTTGCAGATGATATCGTCATCTTGGCTGCAATCGTGCTGGACTTACAATAATTATATGCTGAACATATTGGCTACTTATTTTGTTCGCATTGGACTCCTGATTTGAGAAAATAGCAAGATAATGTTCAATGAACGTGTTTGTTCGGAGCCTGTACAACGTCCCAAAAATATCTCCCAAGAGAATAAAACACTCGTGTCCAGAGTAAGACAATTTATTGCACATAAAACTGCAGAGGTAGTGTATCGACGGAAAATCTTAACACCGCGATGTAAAATGATGACGTATCGGTACAGCGTCATCTGTTATCGAATTGTGGTACTACCGGTAAAACATTGTTGACATTGTCGTATATAAGTGATGTAAACAGAATAGACATTCCGCCCACCATGGACGGCACTGTCCATCAACCAAAACATGACAATATTAACTTAAATTAATTTGGTTTTAACAATGCATAAAGATCTAAACTAAAGCCTTACTAAACTAAAGTCTACAATACAAGAACATACTTTATGTAACACAAATGCAATAAACAACAAAAATAAAACAAGTGAAATATACAGGTTCATCCCTTATGTACTAAACATACAAAAACAACAGTAAAAACAAGTAAACGATACAATATCATTCAAGTAGATTCACAAATAGTGCATAAGTGAGGCAAAATAAACTATGTAAACTTCAACAATATGGTGATAAACAAAAATTAAGTAGTTACAGGTAACATAATTAATTTAGATACGGGTCTTTTAATCTCACTATTTTTACACCGTATTGTTACAACGCGAGTAATATTGTCCAAACCTGGATGCTTATTTGTAACGATACCGTATAGCCATCGAGCAGGTGGAAGCCCATCTTCCTTCACCAGAACTACGTCTCCAATCTCAGGTTCAGGCTTACAATTCGTCCATTTATATCG